TCATTTTACACATTCCTTTAAAGGAAACATAATATCATATGACTATGATTATTGCAATGTTTACCAGTGAGGTAGGTATTGTGGGAGGAGTTGATAAAGTAACTGGTGAGCGGTTGCGTCATGTCATCACTGAGATCCAAGGCCTCTGGAGGAACAATGCTGTTTTTATCCCCACCCAGAAAACGGCTAAAACCTTCCATGGATATCTGGTCTATAATATGAAAGTGGAGAAGGTAGGGTTTACTTAATAAAAGAAGACTGTCTCTTAAATCTATAGGCAATCTGCAAGGTACTCTTCACTTTCACTTGCCTCTTTCAAGAAACTGTTTGTTGGACTCGTATTTTTCTATAAGATGGCGCACCTGGTCCCTTGTAAGAGGTGGGAAAAGAATCTCGTTGAGTCTTGGATCCCTCTGTTTCTGATTTATAAACTCCATCAGTTGCTCCAGAGTTAAATATGGCTTCCCTTTAGCCCCACTAGAGAAAGAAGGCCAGAAAATGGTTAGTTGACAAAAACTACAGTATATCTAGGAGTACAAGTAAAGCCGGGTATACACACTTGAAATTGGCTACTTTTGTTCCCCATGGTCCCTGGGTGTGTGTTGTAAAGTAGCAACTGCTCCAAGCTCACTCCCGTGATGGACTACAATCTCATGTTTAGTTTACCAATTTGTATTGAGATTGTAGTCCATCATGTAAGTGAGCTTGGAGCGGTGGCTACTTTACAAAACACACAGGGACCATGGGGAACAAAAGTAGCCACCCTCCAGAAGGACGGAAAGTGTCATCATGAATTCAGAGATGATTTAAGGATCTACAGCTGAGTGACACACAAATAAGATACATTTTTGTTATTAGTTAAGGTACTTGAATGCATTTTTAAGATTTAACTCCTGAGTTTAGTGTCACTTTAAGATACTGTGTATGTTGAGTATTCAGATTAAAATCAAGCAAATGTGTACAAATATTTAGAGTTGATGTATGAGCCTAAGAAGAAAGTGGTCTTACACAAAAAAAAGAGGAAGCAGAAATATATCACAAGGGGAAAGACTGTAAAAAGGCGACGGCTATCATGTTTTTCACTTTATCGTCAATCTTTGTGTTTTTCTAAATTTACCCCTAAGTGACCATATTCGTAATGTAAGAGACAATATTCCTACCTTTCTGGAGGACCAATTGTTGAAATGCCATACCTTCGTTAATCTCCAGCTGCTGCCCCGGTGAGTGAAATACCTGCTCCCACAATGGGATTTTACTGATTGACATCAATTTAAAACTATTGATGTAAATCAGTTATTGATCTACATATACTTAAAGGCTTGCATAATGCCTTTAAGTGAAAACACATTTTACCATGCTACCACAAAGCAGATTAACATTAGGCACTTTGTTCAGTGTGTGGCGGTGCCATGCACTTAGTATGGCAACCCGACGCAGAAATATAGTACGGGACAACACACCTGCAGTACAACACACCCCAGTGCACATGGCAGACTTTGCTGCGTGCTGCATTGGAGAAAATGGTGCAAGACCAGTTAAGGTGCACTGTCCTTTACTCAAAATGCGCACAAAAAAACTCTTCTCTGCTAGAAAAAAATGTTTTGGCTGGGAGGCCATAATTTGACCCATTAAATGTGCAATTTGGTTACTCCTGCTCTTAAAGTGAATTTCCACTATTGCAGTCAAATTTGAGAAAACACCTCAATATGTTTCTTATTCACACAGCATACCAACAAATATAAAAGCTAACAGTGATCTGTCCTTTTAGAAAGACTTAGGACTGAATTTTGAGGATTGTGTTTATCATTGAATATGCAATGCAGAAGTCAGGGTTGTAATTCCCTAACCCTTTGTTAAAGCAGGCAGTGTTTAAATCTACTTTACAAATTATCATGAGCCAACCTTTTACCCCTCACAACCATTTCCTAACATTACAAATAGGGATGCACGATACCGTTTTTTTTTGGTATCGAGTACCGATATTTTTCTTTTAGTACTCGCCAATATCGAGTACCCGTGCTTTCGCTGCCATGGAATTGGCTTTCCGGGCAATCAGGAAGCTGGGCGACGGGTAATGACATGCCCACCAGGTTCCTGATTGCTCAGGAAGCCAGCTCCAAGTTGTTTGGCCAGCTCGACTGTGATTGGATGGGAGACCGGCTTCCCAGGCAATCAGCATCAAGCCGGCTTCCAGGTCAATCAGGAAGTCAGGCAGCAAATAATGACCCGCCTCCCGGCTACCTGATTGGCAGGGAAGCTGGCTCCAGGCTGATTTGCCACAAAGCCGGTTTCCAAGCCAATCAGCACCGAGTCATTACTCACCGCCCGGCTTCCTGATTGCCCGGAAGCCGGCTCCATGTTCTCCTATGGCACTGCCAGTCAGAGGAAATCTTTCTTTGACAGGAAGTTCCGGTATCGGGGAAGGTATTGGAGCAATTGGGCAAGTACGAGTACCGATACCAGTATTGGTATCGGTGCATCCCTAAATACCAAGAAGGAGATCCAAGTAAAAATTTTAACCAGTAAAGTCCATTTCCACCTTTGCAGAGGTATTCTTAAAAAACATAAGCCAGCAATATATACATTTACATTTTTTGTTAGCTTTCCTCTTCATATCTGCATGGAAATGTCAGCCTCTGTTCTGTGCTAAAAATGTGAAAATATCCCACAAGAGCCCCCCCCACGCTTCCCTGGACAGTGTATTGTGTATAAAGGCAGAGCTAATGTTTAGTGATTGTGTTACAATGGGTGACAGGGAGGGGTGCAGCTGATTACAGCCTAATTAACATCCGATGCTGGTGTCTGACTGAATTTCCTGTGGAGAAAATTTTTAATTTTCAGGCTTCAGGCCTAATAAAACCTTCATAAAAAAAATGAAGAACGCCTGCAAATGTGCACACATATACATCATCATAGCACCTCTTCATTATTACCACAATAAATGCAAGTCACTTACAAAAGGTTGAAATGGACTTTAAGAAGCCAAGAAACCCTAACCCAAGTAAAAGCAATTCAAACTGGAGGAAGCATTTTTGAAATGTTTTTTTTTTTAGTCTATGCGATGTGAATGGGAACACGTAACAAATATAAAATAGGTGTTATCCTAGTTTGGCTGCAAAAGTGGAAATACAAAGTGTGTTTTAAACCAGAGAAATAGGAAGGCTGAAAAAGTTGTTGATCTTGTTTGGAGATTGCCATCTGCTTGCTGCAAGTGGTAAATATAGTTACATAGTATTTCAGGTTGAATAAAGACACAGGTCCATCAAGTTCATGTCCATCTAACCTTTCATATTTACCTGATTAAATACAAATGTAAGCATTATAGCACCAAACAATTAGGAAAATATATTTGAAAAGTCAGTGTACAGTCTCTTTAATTCATCGTCAGCACTGAATTTTCTGTCATACCGATACACATAACAATAAAAATAAACAAAAACATTAAAAAAGAAAATATGAAACAAAAATAAAACAAACAGCAATGCACCATTTTCCATCAACTCACTTCTCTATTAGGATCTTATCGATATCTGGCCGTAAGCATAGCTTATTTAGAAACCGTTCAAAAATTTCAAGGGTAAATTCTTCTGGTTTGATGGACTCACCCTGAAAGGGAGAGAAGATGATCATGTCCAGTTTGTTTTCAATTGCAATATTAACACGAAAAGGCAGAATGAAAAGTAAGCAAATGTATAATGCTCAGTTAGACAGCAACTGTGAGAATGTTGTGACCCTGGGAATGAATCTGTGAGTCAAAGCTGACAACAGCTGCCAAGGGGTTTTGTTTCGCTTTCCTTGGGGCCAAAACTGATGGAGTCTGTGAGATGTTGAACTTAAGGGATGTGTTCTATTTTATCTTCATTAAAGCAGAACTCCGGGAAAAAGCTAAATACAAAACTAAACAACATACAGCGGTGGACATTTATCAATTCTGTCAAACAGCAAGGCAATTCTAAAGCTGGCTATACACCAGTAGAATTCTGTTTTTTTTTAAACTTTATTTTTAGAAGGATTGTTAGTTTTCTACTAGTTAATGTGGTCAAATAAACAATTGTTTTTGACAGCAGTAATGAAAAAAACCTGACAAAACAGGATGGAAGATTTTTCTCGAAAGAACAAAATTCTAACAGTGAATGTGGTTTTGTTTGGGAAACTCCATTCATTTCCAAAATCAAATGTTAAAATCAAAGGACATTGTGAACGACATTCGTCAGGTCTCTGGTAGCATTGGTGAATGTTCTGATGAGATTTTTCATATGAACAGCTGCTCTAAAGTAGCAATGATAACTGACCCCGACCACTTCTTAATTGTGCCGTCTTTTATAGTGAAAACCCGTCTCATCTTAGGCCCCGTTCACACCTGAGCGTTTTAACGCGCGTTCCTACGCTCGGTAAAACGCGCAACAGGTGAAAACCCATGTTTGCCTATGGGCATGGTTCTCACCTGCGCGTTTTACCGCCCGTTCGATCGCGGGATAAAACGACATACGCCCAAAGAAGTACATGAGCTTCTTTGGGGCGTATTGACGCCCGTATCCTGCTGTTATCAACCGGATACCCCCTCGGAAACTCGCGTTTGACGCGTGTTTCTTTTACCGCAAATCGCGGTAAAACCGCGCTGTAAGAAATGCGCGGCAAACGCGAGTTTCCAATACGCTAAGGTGTGAACCCAGCCTTAAGTGATAGGTCTGTCCCAGAACTCTGCAAACTGTAGCTCTTGGCTGCCCAGGAGTACAGACGAAGGGGTAAAAAAAACCACTGTGAACCTGTTGCATAGATTTTGATTGTGATTTATACACCTCTGTAAACTACTTTGTCACTTTAGTGTTTCTGGGGCTCAGCTGCCTGCTAAATGGACAGAGAGGATGATGCTGGTCTGTGGTCCATATTTATATATTTAAGTGTTTGACTGGAGTGCTGCTTTAACTGTGCAACTTTATGGATAAGGAGGATCAAAGCTACACCAGAATGATGCCATGTATGCATACAAACCTTGAACTAAATGTTCAATATATGGAATTAACCTCAGACATAGCACAATAACATCTGAATTATGCAGTGGCGTTTAGTTTGCCAGCCCTTTCAATGTTTGTAATATATATATTTAAATATCTGTTTTTCATGGGGCACTTAGAACAAACAAAGGTTATAGGATCAAATGCAGGCTAGATTTTTACTCTGGATGTGAGTTCCCCTTTAAACCACAGCCATCATCAGCAAATGAAAAAACAAGTAAATAAACACAATACATTGGGGTTATGATACCTTAGCTTATCTGATTGCATAGTTCTAGCGTGTAACTATGCTGATAGGATCTGATTGTATGGCAGTTAGGTTAATGGTCTCATATGGTGTCACTGCAAAGATTTCATCTCATTTATAACCAAAATCAGAATCTGTGCCGACTAAAACAGAAAAGAGCTACAATGCCTCTAGATGTGTCCATTGTGAAAAATGAATACTGTGTAAAGTTATTATAAAAGGCAGTATCTGCAGATTTGAGACAAAATGAAAGATTAATAATAATACCCGATTAAAGTTCAGACCACAGGACTCCAATGCAGTTTCTACTCTCTTCTTGTCAGCGGCAAACATCTTAAGGATACTAGAAAAGTGCGACAGATGTGTTAAAATAGCAGTACAACAGCTTCTCAATTGTATATGACATAACAAGTTAATTTTTTTACAAATTGAAGAAGCATTTGCCATTTTAGTAGAACCTGATAATGTGTTAACTCTGTTGATGCCTCCAGACAGCTGATCACAAGGTTTGTAGTTTGTGATGTATATTGTATTGCTGCTCCTGGCTGATGACACACACTGGCTTAAGAGGCCTAGGTCCAATAGATTATAAGTGTACAAAAGACTGGTCCCAGCGGGATGATACCCCATCTACACTGCCCCGTACACAATGATGTCATAGCATTGCAGCACTAGGCTCTTAGGATTTATTCCTAGCAAGAGAGTATACAGCTCGAATTTGGGCTGAGTCAGCTAAGTGAAGGGGTCAATCTGCATGATTTACAATAAGCGACATAAAAGCTGCAGAACATATGATATGTATATGAATGATAAAGATCAGCAAAATAAACTAATAATATCCAATAAAATAAAATGACCAAACCAGAAAAATAAATTCAAACTAAGGGCCCACACACACTAATACATTTTTTATGCAATTCTCATTGTGCAGATACTACATTTAAATCTACCCCTTAAGATTCCAAGTTTAAGACGCAAAGCTTGTTCTGCAATATTATTAAAAAAACTGATGGACTTCAACAAGGTCTAAGAGAAAACATATACAGATCAGTCATAATATAACCTAGTGGAGTCCATGCCCCAATGGATCAGGGCTGTTTTATGGCAGAAGTGGGACCTACTCAATATTAGGCAGGTGTTCATAATGTTATGGCTGATCGGTGTGTATGTCAGCAATGTCGCATCAGACAGCAATGTCCCCTCCATGAAAGTCAGCAATGTCCCCTCCATGAAAGTCAGCAATGTCCACTCCATGAAAGTAAACCAGAAATGTATGATCAGCGGGTGGCACTATATCACTTATTTATACATACCGATATTGAATAGACACATCTCCCATAAAACAAGTAAGACATCTAGGTAAATAAATCATCTACAACTTCTGTATACTCTGCTCTTCCGCCAAGTGCTTTTGGCATATTTAGTAAATACGCTGACTTGTCAAAGTTTGACACCTGAGGATGCAGTTTAGCCGTTTGTACAGATGCCACACATTATTCCCTGAAAACATAGATATACTGGAAGGGGATCACTCACTTCTTGACTGGTATTCGTCCATCCTGATTCAACTGAAGTTTTAATTTGGTGTACCTGAAATATGACATAGATATGTTAATTTAAAGCAGCACTCCAGGCAAGCTGCTAAACACATAGTTGAAAATATAAATATACTGTATATATTACATTATACATTTTACCATTTACTTGCCAAAGGATTAGAAGTCTGTTTAGCCACTGCTGTTCTTTGCACCCCTTGCCACACTGCACATATAAAAGATCTATTACTTCGTAGCTAAGTTCTACACTTTTCTGAATCCCATACCTCTTAATAGGACAAAGGTGACAATACCAATTCACTGCCCATTTAACATGCTGGGAGCTACAAAGGAAGCCTGACTGACTGACTCAGGAGATAAGTGTGTAACCTGCCTGAGTGTGTAGTAAGTCAGGTGTGGGTAAATAGGAAGGTTAAAAAAACTATACAAAATTACAAATCCCTTGGCCGATAAAACAGTTCAAATATTTGCATGTTAGATGTCTAATTGTTTGTCAAGCGAGAATAAAATCAATATTTCAACAACTATGCAATATTATACAAACCACATAAGTGCCAACAAGAAATTACAAAGAGAAAGAGGACAATAGAAGCAGATAGAATCTAGAGCAATTGTCTACAGCAGTGGTTCTCAACTCGTGGGTCGCGACCCAAAAGTGGGTCGCGACACCCTCTGCAGTGGGTCGCGGCGTCATGTCTGAATAGACCGGCCTGAGACTGAATAGAGAGGGGGAATTTGTGGTTCAGTCTGTGGAACCTCATGTCAAACTGTCCCCTCTCTCCCGGCCTCCCCCGGGCTCTATAACCAACCAACTTGTCTTTTTTGTTTGTTTAGTTAAGCGTTGAAAATAAAAGATAAAAGCTGATAGGACAACAGCTCCAGATTCTGTCTGCTCCAGTTTTGAAAAAGTTATAGTACTTTGAACATTTGACCTTTCTATTGTTTTTGCCTAATTACCTCGGTATATTAACCAACTCAATGGACATTACAAATGAGTTCTTCACATAAAATACAAGTTAAAACGGTAAACTTTTTTTAGTTTTGAATAGAGTAGGGAAGGGTTAGAACCAGGGAGACAAACACAACCAACTAACAGGGACAGTTTCCTGGGGGCTGAAGAACGTGTACCAAATATATATACCAAGAAGCAAGTTTGCGGAGATGAGTTGTAAATGTTTAAATACTTTACAAGCTTAACAAGATGACTGCTGCTCTGTGACATTGATATTAACCCAACTAAAAAAAGAAATACCATGCCATCATCACATTCCTCATCATTCCATACAAAAACAACCCATTTCACAGTTTTGCTTTCTTCCATCAATGACTTCCTTGCATTCAGTGACATCTCAGAGCCATAAAGAAAGTCAAGGCTGGCCGAAGTTTTCACTGACTGCGGGTCCAGCTCTGAGGTTGCCACTGGCTGTGGGTCCAGCTTGGAGATTGCCACTGGCTGCGGGTCCACTTCGGAGATTGCCACTGGCTGCGGGTCCAGCTTGGAGATTGCCACTGGCTGCGGGTCCACTTCGGAGATTGCCACTGGCTGCGGGTCCACCCCGGAGATTGCCACTGGCTGTGGGTCCAGCTCGGAGATTGCCACTGGCTGCGGGTCCAGCTCGGAGGTTGCCACTGGCTGCGGGTCCAGCTGGGAGGTTGCCCCTGGCTGCGGGTCCAGCTCGGAGGTTGCCCCTGGCTACGGGTCCAGCTCTGATTGTAACTTCACTCGTGGCCACCATCTCAACATACTGTATATAATTTGTACTGGCCCTGGAGGCAAATGCCCCACTGCTGCCAAGAACAGTACTCCCCTGCTTAGAACCTTAACCTCATCAGGTTTGTAATGCTGTCTCTGTCCCTGCTGGAGAGATTCACCATCTATTTGTCCTAGTGAACAATTTCAACAGGAATGAAAGTGAGGGGAAATCAAAAATACTGAGTTGTCACCAGAACAGAAATCTTTAAAAGTGATAACTGTCCAAGAGAGGATTTCCCCCACATGTAACTATTCCTACTACATCCAAAAGGAAAACAAAAAGTTGTGGCTTTAGCTATTTTAAAGAGACCTAAAGACCTTACATTTAAAGCTTAAAGTATAGATCGTCTGCTGTGACAGGACACATGTTCTCTGTCAAAGTGGAGGATCTGTTTAGCAAGAGTCATGAATTGGCTGGCTCTGCATGAATGGCGCTCTTTGACAGAGAGCACATGAGTCACTGCTGCAGCTGTTCAGTTGCCCACAGTCAGAGCGAGCCTGAGTGCTGATAGCCAAAAGCATCACACAGGTTTTAGAAGCAGCTTAGATTTTAGGACATCACGGGGGATATAACATATATTCGATTTTCATTATGCTTTTTCAAGTAGAAGCAAGTGCTGATAACACAAAGCACAGCAGGACTTTCTTTTCATTTCAGCAAGTTAGCAAAGCAAAAAAAAAAAAAAAATCATCTGCAACAGAACATGATTAGCTGCAACAAAACATTTCACTGCATGTGAGGCAACCCACAAACACAACATAGTGATAAACAAACATGCAATTTTGAATTGAACACTTATTCGGCAAAGAAAGATCATTAACCCTTTTGTTGCCAGGCCCTGTGCTCTACTATGAACCTTGGCTGGCAAGACCATTTTAGCAATTTTACCTTCTTTTTAATTTCCAACTGCAGCTTTCAAAGTTTGTAGAAGACCTAACCATTTTCTGAAAGTACAGGAGCGGTCGAATAAAAAGATGGTGCTACTAATTTTGTAGGTCCCGCAACACTTGTGCAAATGTTTATCAAATCAATATTTTTGATAAAAATATACTAAAATCATTATCCGCGCACATTAAAAAAACATAATTTACACTAAATCTAAAACATAAAACTGTACAGAGGTAATAAATAACAGATTTGTACATTTTAACTTGCGGCTTTTTGAAAAGCTGTAAAAAAATTAAAAATGAAGGAACGCAAAACTGTAAATAAGTAATTTATGCTAAAAATGTGGAGGTTAGCCTCACACCTGTGTTTTGGTAATGCTTATTCTGCAGTGCCCCCTGTGCACTGTGTGTTGGGGTGTGTTGTGATAAAATGATGCAGCCATGAGCTGTTGTACATGTATGATGTGCGTGTGTATGGGGGTTTATATCTTTTTTAGCAATTTTTTTAAAATCACAATATTATTATTTTACATTACTGTCTGAGGGCTTTGGGGACATATCAGGAGATATTTCCCTTTTGAGATAGAAAAAGAGATTGAGGACACAATCTCCTTCTCTGCAGCCCCAGCACTCACTGAACAGGAAGCACTCCGTACTGAGGCTTCTTGTTCACTCACACACTGAGGAGGCATACTATGTTTACAATGTTCCCAATCATGAATGAACAGGATGTGATCTGTAACGCTTCCTGTTCATTCATAACTGGGGAGATAGTTACTACCTCCTCAGTTATTGATAAACACTGGAGTGATCAGTACTGATCACTCAGGTGTTTGTTCAGTGAAGAGGATTGGTAAACATTAGACATATTTACTGATCCTATGCTCTCCATCCTGAACTGCTCTGCCGTGCCTGTAACTGGATCCTCCCTCCCACCCCCAGGCTCACTCCTCCCCACTGGGCGGTGGCCCCATGCTCCGCTCTGTGTCCCCTCTGATCCCTGCGGTCTCTGCTGATACAGGTGTGGGAGACTAGCGTGAATCACAGGGGACAAAGGGGGACAATGTAGGGGAGCAGGTTGCAGGCTCTCAGTGGGGAGAACCAAGCAGTAGTAGCGGCAGTAACAGGGCAGAGGGGGGTGGGGAGGGGAGTAGATTAATGCAAGTACATTGCAAGTACATTGATGTCACTACGCTTGTATTCCATTGAAATTACAAGTCTCTCTGCCGCAGTGATAAATGGGACTTAGTAGTTTCGCAATTCATAGATCCTGTCCAAGGGTCTGTGAATGGATGATGCGGCTGTGTGGGTGGAGCCACGCACAGCCATGCCAAATTCAAACACCAGCAGCGGGGACAATAACCATGCAATTCAGGTAAGTGGGGGAGGGTCTGCGATCTGACTCAAGTTTCATGTTACACCCTAAATATGGGTGTAACATTAAACATGGCCAGAAAGGTGCACTTAGCATTTAGTGCAGGCAATCTTTCTTAAGCTGCCCATACAACTTACCATCTGTACAATCTCTGTACAATTTCCTCCAGATTTACCAATACTATGTATTCGGGGGCTTCATCTAAACAGTAAGTACAATTTCTATTTCACCAGGCAGACCTTTGCTCTACATAGGTGTTGTTTGATCTAAAATAGATTGTACAATCAGAATCTAACATGTGTGATCACTTTAAGACAAACAGATTTCTGAAAAGAAAGCCCAGCACTAGCTCTGTACTACATCGCTATCCTTACTAGCAGAGCAGGAGGGAGGTGTGCCTTTCAGTGGCTCAAAAAAAAGGAGGCAGTTAACTATCGTTTCCACGTTTTCAACAAGGTGAGTAAAGAAAACTTACGCTTTTTGCAGAAACGCATTCCGAGATGAATTCTGTGCCAAAATATTTGTGGCCAGTTTAAAAAGTCCTTCTGTCCAAATCTAAAACATACAGGAAAAAAAATGGTAAATGTCTTTTATATGGCCAGTAAGGGCTTGCTTATATCATGTGTGGTGACTTGTGTTTTTCAGCACCTGATCAACGCCAGCCACTGCAAGGGCATGTAGAAAACACTGTGTTGAAGTGGGTTGCGGGGCAGTGTGAACACAATGCAGATATGCTGCATTTTTCTGCATCGCACCTCATTTGTCGCCACACTGCAGCTGAGCTGCGGTAAATACAAATGAATAAAATGTCACTTTGACATTTAAACGAAAAAAAACCCTAAAAAGCAAACAGTGCCTTGTGTTGTAACAACCCCCCCCCCCCCCCCCCCCCCCACCTC